TGATTCTTCTTTATGTGGTTTATTCGAATAGCAAATTCCTCACTAACTTCATATTTATTACCTTTCTTTATTTTCTGTCGAGCTTTGTTGTAGGTCATTATGTGAGACTATACAAAGCTACAATTAAAGGTGACTGGGAGAGAGCAGAGGAATTTATAAAACAAGAACCAGATAACCTTGCAATGAGGGCTGCCATAAGGGATAACTCAGAAACAGTGCTCATTGTTGCTGTGAAGTCGAAGCAGAGAAACAATTTTGTGAAGAAGCTGTTGGAGATAAAAATGAATAACACTGAAAACAGAGGCAAAAGCCCAGAAAACAGAGGCAAAGAAATATATAAAATCTGAACTGTTGGGTCCTCTTATTCAAGTTAAAAATACTGAAGCAAATATGCCTATATATAGGCTTACAAACTAAGCTACCAGAACAGAATTTTATGTACCACTAAGGCACTAACTTAGACCACTACAACCACTAGCATAATATCAGCAACAACTACCCAATTGACTAAACAAACTCAGAAAAATACGAACACTACTAACAACCTGAAAAGACCAAGTCAGACTTTGAATCATTCTTCAACACTCCCCCTTGATTCAAAGTTGCAAACGCCAAGGAAAGCTCTGAAGTATAAAAACTTTTCTTTTGACAAAGACTTCGTCAGTATATCAGCCAGCTGCTCATGAGTGCTACAGTACTTCAAAGTTACCTCCTCCTTCACAACCAAATCACGAATGAAATGGAGACGCATATCTATATGTTTTGTTCTGTTATGAAATGCTAGATTTTTTGTCATAAAGATGGTTACCTTGTTGTCACAAAAGATCTCCGTTCCTCCCTCTTGCCTTTGTTGAAGTTCAGCCAACATTCTTCTTAACCATATGGCTTGACAAGCTGCTGAAGTGGCTGCAACGTACTTAGCTTCTGAGGACGACAATGCTACTGTGGCTTGCTTCTTTGAGCTCCATGTGATTACTCCTGATCCAAGAGTAAAAACATTTGCTGAAATACTCCGCCTATCATCCAAAGAACTTGCCCAATCGCTGTCCGTGAACCCACATAATTTGAAATTGAAAACTTTTGAGTACCAAATCCCATAATCCATAGTTCCAGCGATGTAACGCAAGACCCGCTTCGCTGCTCCAAAATGAAGCTTTGAAAGATGTTGCATAAACCTGGAAATCATACTAACAGAAAATGCAATATCAGGTCAAGTGTGGGTTAGATAAATTAAACCACCAACCAAGCTTCTGAACCTGCTAGCATCAGCCATTTCTACCCCATCTTCACACTGCAATTTTTCATTGATATTCATGGGAGTAGTTGCTAGTTTACAATTAAGCATGCCAAATTTATTAAGAAGATCCTTGGCATATTTTCTTTGGGAAATAAAAATCCCATCTTCTGCTTGTTGGACCTCAAGGCCAAGAAAATAATGCAGCAAACCCATATCAGACATTTCAAACTCGTGCATCATACGTGATTTAAACTCAGCCACAAGAGAACTAGAAGAGCTTGTATAAATGATATCATCAACATAAAGACAAATAATGATGAAATCATTTTTACCTTCCTTCTTCACGCAGAGAGTGGGCTCATTCTCACTTCTCAAGAATCCATTTTGCTGAAAGTATCCTTCAATTTTGCTATACCATGCCCGAGGAGCCTGCTTTAATCCGTACAACGCCTTTCTCAACTTGTACACCTTTGTTTCTTTGCCTTCAATCATGAAACCTTCTGGTTGAGTTACATAAACTTCCTCTTGTTGATCTCTATTTAAAAATGCTGACTTCACATCAAGTTGATAAACAGGCCATTGTAATTGTGCAGCCAATGCTAAAATAATTCTCACAGTTTCAAACCGAGCTACTGGAGAAAAAGTTTCGTCGAAATCAATGCCATGTTGCTATGCGTATCCCTTCGCCACAAGCCGAGCTTTGTGCTTTTGTATACTTCCATCTGCACCAAATTTTGTCTTAAATACCCACTTCAAACCAATTGCATTTTTGCCTTCCGGCAAGTCCATCATCTCCCATGTTCTGTTCTTTTCAATTGCTGTCAATTCTTCCATAATCGCTCTTTGCCATTCCTTTTTTTTAGATGCTTCTCCATAAGTCATAGGATCTGAAACAGTAAGAGCAAATTGGCAAGACTCATAAATGTCTCTCAAGAATCTAAACTTTCTGGGTGGTGTTTCATCCGAAGACTCTTCTAGAGTGGATGAAGAGTCTCTCCTTGGTGAACTTGGTGACGCCATAGAGGAACCGAATGAACTTGTAGGAATTGGCACTTGACTTTCATTTGGAGAGATTCCAATGGACATAGGAACCTGCTGTTGCATTTTCTCATTAATTCCACGCCAATCCCAACTTGCATTTTCATCAAATACTACATCCCTTCCAATTAAAAACTTGCCACTAAGAGGCTTATATAATCTATATGCTTTGGATTGTGTACAGTAACCAATGAAAATACATTTTTCAAATTTTTCATCAAGTTTATGACGAAATTGAGAATTTACCAAAGCATAAGCAATACACCCAAAAACTCTTAAGTGACTTACAGATGGTTTTGTGCCACGCCAAGCTTCAACCAGAGTTCGATTCATGACTGCCCTTATGGGAGAAAGATTCAATAAATAAACTGATGTTGCCACAGCTTCAGCCTAATATTCATTTGAAAGTCCCTTTGCTTGTAACATGCCTCTTGCCATCTCCACAACAGTTCGATTCTTCGGCTCGGCGATGCCATTTTGCTCTGGAGTGTAAGGAGTTGTCAACTCCCTTTGAATGCCATTTTCTTCACAAAAAAGATCAAAATCTTTGGATAAAAATTCTCCACCTCTATCAGTGCGAAGAACTTTGATGCAAAATCCACTTTGCTTTTCAACTTTAGCTTTGAAGTGCCTAAATTTCTCAAAGGCTTCGGATTTGTTTTCCAAAAAATAAACCCAACTCATGTGACTATAATGATCTGTAAATAGCAAGAAATAACAACTTCCACCAAAAGATTTAGTTTGCATAGGTCTACATAAATCAGCATGAATTAATTCGAGACATGTTGAAGCTCTCCAGGCCTTTCCAACTGGAAATGACTTTCTAGTTTGTTTCCCATTGATGCACCCTTCACATAATTCAATGGAACCAATTTTTAGTAGTCCAAAAACCATACCTTTTTCTTTTAGCAATTTCAGACCCTTGATGTTGAGATGCCTGTATCGCAAATGCCATAGCTTCGAGTCATCTTTTCCACTAACGGCAAAGACAAAATTCTCCATGCTTGAAACTTCCAATGGGAACATTTTGTTTTGAGTCATGTTGATATTGATCAACGTATGGCCTGAGTGCTTGTCTCTAATAACACATGCATCATTATCAAATGAGATGGAATATCCAGCAGCCATTAATTGCCCAACACTTAGCAAATTATATCCCAAATCAGGTACAAATTGAACATTATGCAAGAGCTTTATGTTACCATGGGTAGTTTTAATGCTCACTGTACCTTTCCCTTCAACTTGTATTTCTTTGGCATTTCCAAGCTGCACCTTCAACTTTTGCGTCTCATCAAGCTCTTTGAACAAGGATTTCATCCCTGTCATATGATTTGAACAGCTGCTGTCTACGAACCACACATCGCTTGACATATTGTTAGGATCAAAATGAGTCATAAAAACCTTACTACTTTCTTCTCCATTTTCTGCTGCATAATTCACTTGTTGATCTTTGTACCAACAATCAGCTTTTATATGACCATACCTCTTACAATGATAGCATTGAGCACCATTCTTGTTGTTTCTTCGCTCACCGGACTGCCGTTGCCCGTCGAAACGACCTCTGCCTCTTCCGTTACCACGACCATAACCACGACCATGACCACGGAATCCTCCTCTTCCATGGCCTCTGCTTGTCGAGCTGTCACCTTCTGTAGCTTTGGTGACTATGTCCTTCACTTGAAATGCCTTTTCTTCATTCTTTTCAAGTGATCGATTAATTCTTGTCTCATGTGCTTGCAAGGACCCCATCAGTTCATCAAAGGAAAAAACTGACAAATCCTTAGATTCTTCTATGGCAACAACAACGTGATCAAACTTTGGAGTCAAGCTTCTCAATACCTTTGCAACAACCGTTTCATCAAAAATCTTCTCACCGTACGATCGCATTTGACTGACTATTGTCATGACCTGAGACAAAAAATCAGCAATTGATTCTCCATTCTTCATGTACAAGGTTTCAAAGTCACGTCGTAGTGATTGCAATTTCACCACGATAACTTTTGAATCACCTTGAAACTCCTTCTGCAGAGTTGACCAAGCTTGCTTCGATGTGGTTGCTGCTGCAATTCGTGAGAAGATGCTGTCATGAACAACCTGCTGAATAATCACCAACGCCGTCGAATCTTTCTTCTTATTCTCCTTCAATCTTGTTTCTTCATCAGGATCTGCGTAGCCTTGTTCTACCAAATCCCAAAGATCTTGAGATTTGAATAGGGTCATCTTCGGATACTCCAGAATCCATAGCCTTCTCCCTTAAAGACAGGGATGAGTGGTTGTGCAGCACTCATTGCATTGCCATTGCTGGCCATTGGTTTTTCCTCTCAGGTGTTTCACTCAACTCACGTGTTTACCCTCTCTTCTCACTCTCTCAACCTGGCTTTAATACCAAATTTATTGGAGATAAAAATGAATAACACTGAAAACAGAGGCAAAAACCCAGAAAACAGAGGCAAAGAAATATATAAAATTTGAACTGTTTGGTCCTCTTATTCAAGTTAAAAATATTGAAGCAAATATGCCTATATATAGGCTTACAAACTAAGCTACTAGAACAGAATTTTATGTACCACTAAGGCACTAACTTAGACCACTACAACCACTAGCATAATATCAAAAACAACTATCCAATTGACTAAAAAAACTCAGAAAAATACGGACACTACTAACAACCTGAAAAGACCAAGTCAGACTTTGAATCATTCTTCAACAGAAGCTAGTGAATCGAATGTCACCGGAGGATCTAGCTAAAGGCGACAGAGGTAAAAGGACAGCCCTTCACCGGGCTGCAGCAGTTGGCAATATTGAGGCTGCCAAACTGTTAGTGGAGAAGAAACGATACCTTCCAAATGCTGAGACGGTTCAAAAACGAATACCTTTGTACTTTGCTGCTACTCATCGGAATAATGAAATGGTTACTTACTTGTTGATCATGACTGAAGATGAGGCAAAAGCCAATTACTCATCGCCAAGTTATCAAAAGCCTGACCGGTGGAATTCTAAACCATTTGAGGGTGAATCGGGCTTCAGAATTTTGCATCAGCTGATACTCAACGAATTTTATGGTAAGTAATTAATAGAATTTATCTTAATTATTTGCATTTAGAAAAATCTAACTTTACATTATGAGATTGTCAAAATAGAACTACTTAATTTCTATTATTAACGAAATGTTATATTTTGTACTGTTAATTGCTACAGACATTGCTCTAGACTTGGTTTGACAAAAACCTGAGTTGGCATTCTTCATTCCAAAAAAAGAAGAACATCTTGAATATCTATCTTTGATGGCGATTTCTCAAAAGCCTTCTTCATTCCAAAGTGGATTCTCATCCTTCAATTTCTTCAAGCAGTAAATCTATTCGCGTTAGTGTATTCGTTCTCTTCACACACCTCTCTATGTATCCTATTATGCAATTTCCTCTATCCATGACTCATTTATTTATTTTGCTCGATTTTGTAATGATACGAATTTAGACAAAGATTTGGTCCTAAACATAAAGGTTTTCAAGCTAAAAGAATGAATAATTTAAACATTTCGGACCAAATTTAAACATTGTAATTCAAATATAACTGCTAAATTTATCATTAATAACGTAATAAAGAGTTGGATATTAAAATGATGGGAAATTCTAGAGTGTGTATCATATGCATCTTAGTTACGACATTTGTGATTTTTGATTAGGACTTATTGCGGTATTAATTATGACTCATTGTGATGTGGTTATGACATTATTTTGGTTATGATCCAAGAGTTTTTTTTTTTGTTATACTTTTTTTTTTTGATCAGCAAAAGAAAATCTTTATTGATGGGAACATACAAAATATGAAAGAGAACATCAATAAAGAGGTCCAAGCTCCAGTTGGTAAGAGACCAACAACAAGCAAAGAAAGAACAACAGAACAACAATTAGCAGAACAACATAATGGCTTCCACTTGAACCTCCAGCAGCAGACTACCAAAAGATAACTAACAGATTGCTTCCACTTATACCTTATGTAGCGTTTGGTTATAATGTTTTTTTAGAATGACTCTTATGATATTTGTATAATCAAACCAACAAATGTCATAACTTTCATACAGTACATAATATTATCCTTAAATGTTTGATCTTTATCAATCACTAATTGACAAAATAATAGGGAAATTACTTGTCAATATATGGATAAAAAAATATTTTTAAATCAGTGATATTTTGTATAAACATTAATATATAAAATCATAAATTTTTTCATAATTTTCTAAAAAACATCACTGACAATTAATTTTCTCTAAAATAATCTACATCATTATACATAAATTTAAAAATCATGTCTTAAGGTGTCAAGCTTTTTTCAAGATGTAATAAATTTATGACAAGCTATTTCACAGTCAACAAAAAGATAACAACGAGACCACGTTTGGGAATTTGACTATTGTAATTGATTTTTTAAAATTATTTTATGAAATTAAAAAAAAAAAGAAGAAGAAGTCATGTTTAGAATGATTTGTGAATTTTTTTATGAGTTATATTAGGGATTCTAAATATTTTATCAAATCTCTCACATGAATATGAGACCCACACACATGTAGGTTTATGTAAGTCTTACACCCATGTGAGAGATTTGGTAAAAAATTTGGTAGATTATTTGGGATCTATAGTATTTTTTTTATTTAATTTTTTTTTGTTTTTATAGTTGAATAGATAGTTATGAAAGAAAAAATGATTGATTGATGTGTAAGATGTGACATTTTGTTTTTTTAGCTATTTTAGCATTTTTTTTCTCTTTATTAACTATTTTAGAAAAAGAATAATGTTATAGACTCACACATTTATACTTATAAATTCACCCACAATGATGTAGCATGAGAGTTGGGCCCACCATCATTAAGTATGTAACAATAAATCAAAAGTTGACATATATCCTTTTACATCATTGTAGCTAGAATTGTGAATATGTTTTGAGAGTCGCAAACATTTTCCTTTTTTCAAAATGCTAGTTGCCAAACAAGGATTTGTGCTTTGTTATATATGTACCTTGGAGAATTCTATTACACACTCTCATACTATATGCACCTTTTGCTATGTAATTTTCTTCTTTAATTATGTCTAATTTTTTACTTTAGTTATGATATTATTATGCGATATTTGGTTATGAAATTTTTTATATTTGGTTATAATTTTATTTTTTTTAATTATAACTCAGAAAATATAAAATTATATTATTTTCTTTTATAATTATAAAGTGCATATGATACGTAATCTTTCCCATGTACTTTTGTTATTGTCATACGAAAAGCAGTTAGTGTCACAAGTGTGTATATCTGTTTTTTTTTAAAGTTTTTTAGTTGAGTGTTTGAGTCAATTTCTTTGCAATATTATCTTTTTTATTGTCCATGATACATGACTTTTTTTACTATTGACTTCGAAAAAAATTGAAAAGATACATTACTTCTTACTAGTATATCATGGATAATAATAATAATAAAAAGTCATGGATATAAGTTTTAAAATAAATTATTTAATGATTAAATAAAATTTTTTGTACACAATTTGAGTAAAAATGCAATATAATGATGATACCATAATCACTGACATGTAATATCACCAATCAATAATAAAACAATACCACATATCAAATATAACTAACAATCCAATAAATTTCATATCTTCATAGTAAATGATAGGATGGGCATTTTGGTACCAACCTCGTTAGGATGATTTAGCCCATTGTGATGCTTTTGCACTTCCTTTTTCTTATTGATGTAATTCGTTTAGCACTTTGTACTTACTTATTCCATCAATAAAGTTTATTTTTTTTGATCAAAAAAAAAAATTCTTATGTTTACATATCAATAATGATGGATATCACCATTTGCATTGAAATTTTTTCATAGAATTTTTATACGTAATGAAATGGCTTGTCGTAATCTTTTCATTTTCAATCAAAACAACAAATATGTTTATCATAATTTAAAAAATGTCATTGACATTTCACTCTAAATATTATTTTTGTATAATTTTTTATTTGAAATATATTCTTTATAAACATATGTATTAAAAAAATTTAAAATTGTAACACCCTCAAAATAACAACATTAAACCCATCAGATAAGACATGCATTTACATATAAACTAACCACATTCTTTTATTCATTAGAGTTCCATTACATAAGTATTACATGTTAACATCAAAACAAAATGCCCTACGGGCTTACAGCTTTCCAAGTTAACACTTGGTTACAACAAAAGAGTACTAACTCGTTTACACATTAAACCCTTGCTGGCTCGACCCACCAGACACGAACCTCACTCTCGCTCGAGCGACCAACTCCTCGCTCGAGCGAAGGTCCAAAATCTGGGCAGCAACACTAGGCTCCCAAACACAACCAACCTGTAACAAACCTGCCCAACACATCCTATAACTCAAATACGAAGAAAAATGATGCAAACGAGATAATAAACAACTTCCAACATCCACGGACACATGTCCGGATCACTGTTCAACAAGGGTAAACCCGGGATCGCTATAAAAATGCAGAAGGAGCACGTGACCCTGTGGTCCGTCTTTACAATCGCCCCTATCGGGCAAATTTCCAATGACTCTAAGATTTGAGATGTTTAGCCTTTGCAATATTTGACCTCATGACCTTTTGTGGGTATCTCTCTTTTATTTCAACAATTAATTCTCGATGTACATTTAGTTTGGTTTCCTTCATGGGAAATTCTATGATACAAATTCCTTCAAGGGTGTATATCATATGTACCTTATTACGTATATTTGTGGTGTGTTACGTATTTTTTGATAAATGTTACATATTTTTTTGGTAAGCATTACGACAATTTATGGTTGAGAAATGAGGTTATGAATTTTTATGATAATGTTATATATTTTGTGGTATTGTTACACATTTTGTGGTTAGAAAATGTCTGGACAAAAAAATTTATAACATTATCACAAAAATACGTAATATTACCGCAAAATGTGTAACTTTATTTATGAATTACAAATTGTCATAATTTCTACCAAAAAAATATGTACTATTTTCTACAAAAATCTATAAAATTTATTACAAAAATACATAATAGGTGCATATGGTATCAATGTTTCCCTTGGAGTTAATAAAATTTCCTTTTTTTTTAAATAAATAAATAAATAAAATAAAAATACAATCCATAAGCACTTTTGTTGGCACCATAAATCTGCAATTTTTATTATTATTTATTATTTATATAATTGCACGACATGTGGTATTCTCCTACTCATTTGGAGGTTATGATAAGTTATGATATGTGAAAAGATGATGGAGAATAAAATAGAGAACATGGAGCATCGATTGGAGGTTAAAGGAAGTTATGAAGACATGGAGAGATATGTGGCATTGTAGGAATGAAGATGGAAGAGTGGGTAGTTTTAGGTGGTTATTGGGTAGTTTTAGGAAGTTTTTTCCTACAAATATTTGCCTATAAATAGTCATTCATGGCTACATTGTAAAGGATCCAGAATTCAAATCAAAGACAATTGATTTCAATATTTCTTATCATTTTCCTTATCTTAGGAGTAGTTTAACATACATTTATATTTCGAAACATTTATTTTCAGCATTTTCTTTTCAAAACATTTTATGCACTTCCTTTTCGAAGCATAGGAGTAGAGGTAAGTAATTATTACTTTGATTGTTCACTCAATTGTCTTTCTCCGTCTCTCATTCTTCTTTTAATTTTTCTTTTCTCTACACTTGGCAATTATGAAGTCCTCTTTGTTGAGGCAAAAGAACCGTCAACTCAACCACTTGATAATTGGCTTGAATTTAATCTGTAAGGATTTTTCAATCATTAGTGGCACGCTCACATTTATGATATTTTCCTTCGTAGGAAAAATAAGCCAATAGTTTTTGGCCCGCCCAGTGGGACATCAAGTGTAAGAAATGAAAAATGAATTGGATTTGTCCATTTCAAACAACCTAGAAGAAATTTATTGGTGTAAACAAAAAATTTTGGATCTTCAAGAAGAGATCCACTTTCTTGATGAAATAAACTTTCATCCCTTACAATATTATTTGGTGGAAGAAAAAAGACACCATTTAATTAGAGAAATTCACCAACTTCATGTGGAAATTCGCCAATGGAATGACGAGTTATCAACTCTCACTACTAAGTCTTTAACTGAGGCTTTAATGGCCGGAATTGGTGAATTTTTTCAGAATTTTTCCATGGTTAAAAATAACAAAAGCAAAGAGTTGATTTCATCAATGGCTCAGGGGGTTCAAGAGTCCGTTTTTAAAAAGCCAAATTATGAAATTAACATAACGAAAGAGCATGTTCTTGAGCCAAATTTGGCTAAGAATGATGTTCAATGCATGGCTCGGGAGGTCTTAAAACCAATTTTTAGAGAGTCAAGTCATGAAAATAACATATCCATGGGTGATTTTCATAAAGCCATTAATGGCTAACATGGAAAAATAACACACTTTGCCAAATAATTATGAAAATCAATTCGGCAAAAGTTATGTTTAAAACAAACATGGTCAAGAATAATGAACAAGCCACTGTTAATGAATTCAAAATTTTTAACATTTTTCAAAGTGTCAAAAAGTATGAATTTTCATGGTCACATTATACCATGACTTTTGTTATTCGAAATCCATTTTGGATTTGTGGATCACATCAAACGTTGACTTTGATGAAATGGCTAACAAATAATATTTCGTTATTGCAATATATTGAGCCAAAAATATTGTTATTAGTTGATCCATAAAACCATCACCATTTGGTTTTGTGGTTACCTTCGAAGCATGTCCAAGACACTTCGAAGCATGTTATTAAGAATATGTGAGGGTTGTTAGACCTATTTTCAAAGGATAAATGGTTGTACTTTTATATGTATTCATTGAAATATCATCTTATAGCCACTAATGGCTAATTAAAATGCCAAACTAATTTCATAGTAATCCAACTCTTTGGATTTGGTTCAAAGAGATGTCGTGGGTACTTTCGAAGGACGATTTTGATCCTTTAGTAACATACGTGAATTTCGAATGGTGATTTTGTCATCAATGAACACCTTCGAAATGTAAAATAGGATGAGAAAACTTTCGAAATGTACATCCCTTCAAATATATGTAAAATGACAATTAATTAATTGTCAAATAATGCCTATTTTTGGCATGATAATTAGTGACTTTACTGATAAACGTTTTTATAGCCATTTGTTACATGATGAAAATGTAACTAGTATTCTACAAAAGTTGATTCAAAGAACAAAAGTTTTGGTGTCTTCGGAGAATTAATAATTGGTTTGAATAATGAAATTAATATTTTCATTAATTATGTGTGAACTAGAGCATACAAAATTTGAATAACTACAATATTGCCCAAAAGTTGTTTCGAAAGCCCTTTTACCATAATTTTGTAAATTTCGAAGCACTTTGTCTTGCATCAACAACAGCTTCGAAGAAACAATATTGGCGGTTGTGAACCTTCGAAACTTTACCGAGTATTTCCAATGATGTAAAAAGTGATGTTTAAGACGTTACTGTCCGCTGATATAAAACACTCTCGCTCGAGCGAAGACTTGGTCGCTCGAGCGACCAGACACAGAAAACTCTCGCTCGAGCCAAGAAGTTCTCGATCGAGCGAAGAAAAACCCACACTCTGGCTCGACCCACCAAACACGAACCCCACTCTCGCTCGAGCGACCAACTCCTCGCTCGAGCGAAGGTCCAAAATTTTGGGCAGCGACACTAGGCTCCCAAGCACAACCAACCTGTAACAAACCTGCCCAACACATCCTATAACTCAAATACAAAGTAAAGAGGATACAAACATGATAATAAACAACTACCAACATCCACGGACACATGTCCGGATCACTGTACAACAAGGGTAAACCCGGGATCGCTATATAAAATGTCAAACTAATTTCATAGTAATCCAATTCTTTGGATTTGGTTCGAAGAGATGTCGTGAGCACTTTCGAAGGACGACTTTGATCCTTTAGTAACAAATGTGACTTTCGAAGGGCAGTTTTATCATCAATAAACACCTTTGAAATGTACCATGGGACGAGAAAACTTTCGAAATGTGTACCTCCCTTCAAATATATGTAAAATGGCAATTAATTAATTATCAAATAATGCCTATTTTTGGCATGATAATTAGTGGCTTTACTAATAACCATTTTTATACCCATTTGTTACATGAAAATGTAACTGGTGTTCTATAAAAGTTGGTTCCAAAAACGACGACTTTGGTGTCTTTGGAGAATTAATAATTGGTTTAAAGCATGAAATTAATATTTTCATTAATTATGTGTGAACCAAAACATATAAAATTTGAATAACCACAATGTTGGCCAATAGTTGCTTCGAAAGCCCTTTTGCCATAATTTTGTAAGCTTCAAAGCACTCCATCTTGCATCAATAACAGCTTTGAAGAAAAAATAGTGATGGTTGTGAACCTTCGAAGCTTTGCCGAATATTTCCAAGGATGTAATTCGTCCTTTGTCGGCACTTTCAACCTTCGAATGATGATTTGGGTCCTCTATACCACCTTTGAAGCTGGTTATTTAGCATGTGTAACAGTTTGCTAAGGTGAATCATTGGCTTTGCCTTGAAAATATGTGGTTATCTTTCAAAGCTTTTTCGCAATAATATCCCTTCAATGCGTATATATATAATTCGCAACATCTAGTCATAATTTCATGCTCATTCGAAACACTTTATTGGTGCTATTATATCATTTGAAGCACTTTGTTGATATTATTTGAAGCACTTTATTGCTTAGATTAGTCATGTGCTTGGTTCGGCCCTTCAAAAATTCAAATAAACATCATTTTTAAGGGCCGCGGGGGGTAATGTTGGCACCATAAATCTGTAATTTTTATTATTATTTATTATTTATATAATTGCATGACATGTGGCATTCTCCTACTCATTTGGAGGTTATGATAAGTTATGAAATGTGAAAAGATGATGGAGAATAAAGTGGAGAACATAGAGCATGAATTGGAGGTTAAAAGAAGTTATGAAGACATGGAGAGATATGTGGCATTGTAGGAATGAAGATGGAAGAGTGGGTAGTTTTAGGTGGTTATTGGGTAGTTATTGCTGGAAGTTTTTTCCTACAAATATTTGCCTATAAATAGCCATTCATAGCTACATTGTAAAGGATCTAGAATTCAAATCAAAGACAATTGATTTCAATATTTCTTATCATTTTCCTTATCTTAGGAGTAGTTTAACATACATTTATATTTCGAAACATTTATTTTCAGCATTTTCTTTTCAAAGCATTTTATGCACTTCCTTTTCGAAGCATAGGAGTAGAGGTAAGTAATTATTACTTTGATTGTTCACTCAATTGTCTTTCTCCATCTCTCATTCTTCTTTTAATTTTTCTTTTCTCTACACTTGGCAATTTTGAAGTCCTCTTTGTTGAGGCAAAAGAACCGTCAACGCAACCGCTTGATAATTGGCTTGAATTTAATCTGTAAGGATTTTTCAATCCTTACTGGCACGCTCGCATTTATGATATTTTCCTTCGTAGGAAAAATAAGCCAACAAATTTATACTTATCATAGCTCACCTCAACTTTTTGTTCTCTCTCCCTCTTGCAGATGTTCCTGTGAAATTGGAAAACAATGGTGAGCATCATAATGGAGGAGACATTGAGTGTCCTGCGGGCTCTTTCACTTCTGTAGCTGATGCTAATGGTAAAGTAAAGGCATCAACCTCTAATCTCATACCAGCCTCCTCTAATACCCATATTAGTACTTAGGACAAAGTATGTTGTAGTCGTTATAATTTTGGTTTTAAATTTTTTATTTTGTGTTAAATTGGTCTAATTGCTTCAAATTGTTAGTATTTTTCTATGGTAAATGCATATATGAGCGGCATGTGTCATACTTTTAGGAGCAGATTGTAAACTTAATCAATTCAGTGAGTTAACCTTAATTAATTAAATGAAAATTTTCTGTCAAAAACCCTAATGACGTTATCAATTAAATTAAATTGATACAAAATCTAAAATTAAATGTTAAAATTGAATCAATTGAAACTTTTAGAACTAAAATGACATAAGTAACAAAATATAGGACTACCGATATAATTTAGTCTAATATACTCCAAAACTATTACAGTTGTTGTGGGATGTGTTATTTTTAGGGTTTATAAGTGGCGGACCTACAAAAGAATTGAGAGGGCCATGGCCATAAGTTTTTCAAAATTGAACTATATTAATTTTATATTTCATGACTATTTATAAAATGCATAATGAGATAATTTTATCAAAAATCACTTTGCTAACTCTATATTTTATTAATATGTTATAATGTATAACGATATAATTTCTAATTGTTTCATATGTTAGTTAATAATATCAATTTTATTGAGTCAATAAATTACTAAAAGCCTATTTGATTGGGTGAATTATAAATAAGATTTATATTCTAGTGTTTGGTTATAATTTTTGTTATCCGAATTAGATTTCAATGAATTTTCTTTCTAATGAAATTGAATTTTATTTTTTAATTCTACAAATAATAATGCAAAACAAACTTATAATTGAGATTATATATTTTTGTATAATCAAAATGTCATAAAAAGGCTAGGTGTACTCAAAACTTTACATCTCTAATTCAATTGGTAGGAATTTGTTCAACACTGTTGTTTTTTTCCTCTTTTATTTTAACTGGTTTAATATTGTTGTGCAGTGAAGAAAAGATTGCATGCAATGCTTGTGAGAACCCGAATATACAAATTAAGTAAATAATTAAATAATAATAATATTACAATCTCAAATATTTTAGTAGTGAATCCTAAAGTGCAAGTTAAATAATTAAGGTACGATTTATGTACTTTCAACCTAAAATAATATTTATGGTGGAAATCTCTAATTTAAAGGTAAGATTTATTATTTAAAAAAAAATAGGGGGAAAGTTAGTATGTATACTTCGATTTAATAATAGTTGTATTTTATTTAAATTAATAATGAGAGGAAATATAATAAAATAAAACATAGGATAATAATTTAGAATCTTTTAAGTTTAGATATATATAGAGAGCAACCCTAGTTTTCCTAACAAAAACCCTAACCCTTATTATAATTGTTTTGCACAACACTTTCAACATGTAGCAGCAGCCACGAGAGAGAGAGAGAGAGAAATTTCAGCAACTTTGTGGTTGAACAACTCTAAGGTAACAATGAATTTATTCTTCTTCTATTATAGTTTGTGTTTACATAGTTATGCTGCTTGTGGGTGTTGTGAGTTGTTGGAAGAAAAGGAATGGTTTGGCTGATTGGGTTAGTGTTTTGTGTATATTATTATCATGCAAAATTTTAAAGCGAATTAAGGAGCTAAAGTCATTGGATAAGAATTCTGCGCAAAATCACAAACTTTAAAAATCAAGAAACCATATCAAACGAATGAATTTTGAACTAAAATTTTTACAGTAGATTAATTATATATTGAATTGCATATCTGAATTTTCTCATAATTTTTGGGAGTCAAAATCCATATAAATTGATGCATTCAAATCTGTCCAGAAAATTGGTTTTAAACAGTAAGTTCGGGAGTGTTTTTCTCTTTGGGTATAAATTCAAAAATTATTAAATAAGCATCATTAGAACGGGCTACAATTCTAGTTTTTTACATTTTTGGCCTTGCATTGATTGCTCATGTATACTAAGAGAACCATCGATTTCTTGAAAGTGCTGCAGAAAACAACCTGTTTAGATATAATTAATTGTAGATAATTATTTTGATAAGCAAATCAAGTGAAACCATTTAGATTTGAAACTTAGGATATATTAGTTGATATCTGGAGGGTTTTAGAATTTTTTGAACAACGTGGAGTGGGTTTTCAATTTTCAAAGTTAGCGAATAAATTAGGAAAACTCGTTTAAAATTCTGTTTTATCTTAAAGTTATTTTTAATTAAGTTTTCATTTAAACCCATGTCTTGAGTGATTTTAGACCTTGAAGAACATGAACTTAGGTAATATTTAAGAGTAACGGTAAGTTGGGTCGAGCCGTGTTAGTGCGCTTTAGTTTGGGGTTACTTAGTTTATTATTCATTTTAGTATGTTTGAATTAGTAGTGACGTGTAGTTTTAATACTTTGTTCAGGGCACTAGTTGGACTTTCATACTTTATTCGATGATTATATTATTTCGTTTTCAGGTGAGTAGCTTCATGCCACATATTTTTATAAATATTCCCCTACCCTGAACTGTTAGAAAATTAAATTGTTGTTTCATGACTAAACTGTTTTGATAAATTATTATATTATCAATAGAATCAAATTATTTCTGAAACATGTGTGAACTTGGCGTACTGTAAACTATTTTTTTTGGTCTCATGTTTATAATGATGAACTACCATGTTTTGCGAAACTGATGTGTATTGATTATTGGGACCATCTATGTATTTAGTCCAGGGAAATTATTCCACTGTGTGTGGTGACTTTGGCTACTAGAGAACAGATCCGGGTTGGGCCGTGATGACTCTAGTGCACAACGATTGTAAGGAAAAGACCTAGGTTAAGCTAGGTGACCTTTAATCGGATCGTCTTGGAAAAAAGGCCTGGGTTGCCACCCTGAGGATGACTCTTAGTTCGGTATTGGATCCAACAGGGCTTATAGCCTTGAGAACTGTGTGGCATATTACTTGTTATTTCTTGGTACCTAGAAAATTATTGGTGTTCATGTTGTAATCTATTTTAAGTGAAAAATGTCATTTATCATGTCCTCGAGAGACATGAGTATTTTAACTGTTGAACTGTGGAACCTTCTTTTTGAAATAGATTCTCTTTACCAAACTGTATACCAATCTAGTTTCTGTGACATGTAGCTTATTTTGGAATTGATCCCTGTTTTCAAAACTGTATATACTATCCATGTTGCTACTCACTGAGCTATCAGCTGACTTAGTTGTTTATCATTTCCAAGTGTTAGAAAGACTTAGAGTGAACTCTTGGCATAGCGGAGACTCAATTGCATGGACCTCTAGGACATTCATTTATTTTATTTTAACCTGTTACGTCGGGTTTTGTACATACATTGTGGTTGGGTTTGATTTAGAATTATTTTATTTTGTGGACAGTTTGTGTGCCATTTAGTATATATTTTTGGAAGTTGTTTATGGCGGGTTTTACCATTTATACTTGTGACATGTCAGTGGATTGATTTTTGATTTATTTATTTATTGGCTATCGTCACATTTATTCTTTGTGATTTTTGAGTTCATGTTTAGGCTTACGTGTGGCTTGGGCTTAGTCCCTGTGGGCCACGGCCGGTCATACCCGGTTTTGGGGTGTGGCAATTATGGTATCAGAGCAATAGGTTTATTGAGTTACATATCTTGCACTTCATCATTTAGACGAGGTCCGAGTCCCTATAGCCTTTAGTAGTGTTTGGTTAAGTTAGTTTTGTTTAAACTTGTGTTGAATCTTTCTTGATTTCAGTTTGAAGGTTAAGAGTTGGCACCTAGATATCTACATGGATTGTCTATTCCTTGTGAGCCTTTGATGTTTGTATTTCCTTGTCTACTCTATTAGGTGGAACAGTAGTATTGGGAGAAACAGTATGTTAGGGAATGATTGTAGATCTTGTGAGATAGAGATGGATGGTAGAATTTTTCTAGTGGATGATTGTAGATCTTGTGAGATAGAGATGGATGGTAGAATTTTTTTAGCGGATTTGATTCCTTTAGAGATGAAGGATTTTAATGTGATTTTTGGGATGGATTGGTTGACCAAGCATCATACCTCTGTTGATTGTTTTAGAAATAGGGTAGTTTTTTCTATGCCGGGGCAACATGAGTTTTTTTTCTTTTAGGGAGATGGGAAAGGGTCTTCTATTTGTTTTATTTCGTCCCTTCAGGCTAACCGAATGTTGAGAAAAGGGTGTCATGATTATTTAGCTTGTGTGGTGAGTATTGAACTGCCAGAATAGAAGTTAGAGGAGTTGGCTGTAGTGAATGATTGTGTTGATGTTTTCCAAAGGATCTACCTGGACTTCCTCTAGATCGTGAGGTAGAATTTTTCACTAACTTGGTCCCTGACACAGCACTTACTTCTAAAGCGCCCTATAGAATGGCACCGTTGGAGTTGAGGAAGTTACAAGAGTTGTTAGTCAAAGGTTTTATTGGGCCCAGTGTTTCACCTTGGAGAGCACCTGTGTTGTTTGTGAAGAAGAATGATAGGTCTATGAGGTTGTGTATTAACAATAGGGAATTTAACAAAGTCATATTGAAGAATAGGTATTCTTTGCCACGTATTGATGACCTATTTGACCAATTGCAGGGAGCTCAGGTATTCTCTAAGATTGACTTGAGGTCAGGCTATCACTAGTTGAAGGTGAGGGATGAGGATGTTCCTAAGACTGCTTTTAGAACCCATTATAAGCATTATGAGTTCTTGGTGATGCCTTTTGGTCTCACAAATGCACCAGTTGTATTCATGGATTTGATAAATAGAGTATTTAAACCGTAGCTAGATAAATTTGTAGTAGTGTTTATTGATGACATCCTAATTTATTCGAGGAGTAAGGAGGAGCCTGAGCAGCATTTGAGGGTAGTACTTCAGATCCTTAGGGAGAAGAGACACTATGCAAAATTTAAGAAGTGTGAATTTTGGTTGAGCATTGTATCCTTTTTGGGTCATGTGGTAAGTAAAGATGGGGTATTTGTGGATAGCATGAAGGTGGTAGCAATTATTGATTGGCCGCGACCTACTTCTGTGACAGAGGTACGTAGCTTTCTAGGGTTTGCTGGATATTATAGACAGTTTGTGGAAGGATTCTCCCGTATTGTTTTGCCATTTATAAATGTGATACCCCTGTTCTGTAGTATGCTAATTGGTCCTTAATACGAATGTGATTATGTGTTTTGATGTGATTTTGAGTGCCATTTGTATAGATATATGTGGTTTTGAGTTTCTATCTATTCAGCGTAGGAATATCTATTTGATTATCTGCTTTGGAAATTAAATTGAAGGCCTTATCGGCCACAGAACCCAAAATTGATTGCGCCATTGTGATTGGTGTAATTTTTAGAGCCTACGGTGAAATTTAATTGAAAATTGATTCGGATCAGATTAAATCGATTAAATTGATGAATTAAGTGCCCAAATATTTTATAATGAAATAATGTGTTGAGTGGGATTAAAAAAGGGCCTTATTATAATCAATTCCTCTCCCTTATATCATTTTGGCTGATGCTAACTCAAGAGAGAAAGGAGAGGGTCGGCCTTAGAGAGAGAGAGGGAGAGAATTGTGTAGTTTTGGCTCAAGGCTTGGAAATCTTGAAGATTAAGTCCAAGAATTGACTAGTGTTTAGAAGATTAAGCTCCTTGGTGAGTAATTTATGTATTTTAGTTATCATCTTGTGAATTCAAGTTTGAAAGAGGGTCAAGAACATGGATTAGTTTGATCATAAGGAAATTGAGTTGAATTTGTTGTAATGAAGACCCATATGTGCATGCATGTGTGTAATTGCTTTGAATATTGCATGTTTGAGCTCAAAGGGTATGATCCTTGTAAATTTGTAGTTGAAGCTCATGTTTTGATTACCTTTTCATCATCTAAGTTGAGAGTAAGGGTTAGATAGCACATGCATGTACAATTCATGAGAATATGAGCTTGAATGCCTGAATTTGTTATGTTAGAATGAGTTTGATGGGAGATTGGGGCATGCATGTGATTTATTTGTGAAATTGAGCTTCATTGGGTTGTAATTTGGGGTTTATACCATGTTAGTATAATTATATTTGAGATTTGAGCCATTGCATGCAAGAAATGTTAGCTTGAAGGTCGAATTTGAGCTCAAGAACACAATCTGGGAAACCTAGAATTTTGATGTCCGCTCGAGCGGGGTAATGGCCGCTCGAGCGGGAAAAACATGCTCCCAGTACTTTTTGCAGACTTGGTGTCCGCTCGAGCGGGTGAGTTCACACTCGAGCAGGGGAGCTACGTAGACAGGCCTTCCGCTCGAGTGCCCTATTTCATGCTCGAGCGTATTTTTCATGCAACCAGTACTTTTGCAGGCCTTAAGGGTCCGCTCGAGCGGTGGAGTCCACGCTCGAGCGGGGATCCTGTTTTCTGAAATTTTGTTTTCGCATTCAGTGTTTCGTTTTCCGTTCTCTTTCACTTGCAAGCACTCTTAGGCATGTGTTAAGCATTGTAAATGAGTGAAAGGGATAAGAACAAGGCCTAAAGAGGAATATGTGAAATAAGGAACGGATTGAATTGTTAATGACCCTTTTGTATTCGTGAAATGTGTAGGGTCGAGCTCTAGGGCGAGCCAACCAACCGATCACTGTGAGTAATATCTTATCAAGATATCTGAAATATACTGGTTTTGATTACCTTTTCATCATCTAAGTTGAGAGTAAGGGTTATATAGCACATGCATGTACAATTCATGAGAATATGAGCTTGAATGCATGAATTTGTTATGTTGGAATGAGTTTGATGGGAGATTGGGGCATGCATGTGATTTATTTGTGAAATTGAGCTTCATTGGGTTGTAATTTGGGGTTTATACCATGTTAGTATAATTATATTTGAGATTTGAGCCATTGCATGCAAGAAATGTTAGCTTGAAGGTCGAATTTGAGCTCAAGAACACAATTTGGGAAACCTAGAATTTTGATGTCCGCTCGAGCGGGGTAATGGCCGCTCGAGCGGGAAAAACGTGCTCCCAGTACTTTTTGCAGACTTGGTGTCCGCTCGAGCGGGTGAGTTCACGCTCGAGCGGGGGAGCTATGTAGACAGGCCTTCCGCTTGAGCGCCCTATTTCATGCTCGAGCGTATTTTTCATGCAACCAGTACTTTTGCAGGCCTTAAGGGTCCGCTCGAGCGGTGGAGTTCACGCTCGAGCGGGGATCCTGTTTTCTGAAATTTTGTTTTTGCATTCAGTGTTTCGTTTTCCATTCTCTTTCACTTGCAAGCACTCTTAGGCATGTGTTAAGCATTGTAAATGAGTGAAAGGGATAAGAACAAGGCCTAAAGAGGAACATGTGAAATAAGGAACGGATTGAATTGTTAATGACCCTTTTGTAATAGTGAAATGTGTAGGGTCGAGCTCTAGGGCGAACCAACCAACCGATCACTGTGAGTAGTATCTTATCAAGATATCTGAAATATACTGTTGTCCAATTGCTCACTTCTATGTAAGTTTTATAAGTCCGTCGATTCAATTGGTGGACAACGTTTTGGCATAAATGAATGGACCGAAGGTTGTTTTGGCATAAATGAATGGACCGAAGGTCGTTTTGGCATAAATGAATGGACCAAAGGTCGTTTTGGCATAAATGAATAGACCGAAGGTCGTGTTGACATAAATGAATGGACCGCAAGTCGTCTTGACATAAATGAATGGACCGCAGGTCGTTTTGACATAAATGAATGGACCGAAGGTTGTTTTGACATGAATGAGTGGGCCGAAGGCCGTTTTGACACAAAAAAATGGGCCAAAGGCCGTTTTGACATGAATGAATGGGCCAGAGGCCGTTCTGTCATGAAAGAAAGTCTGAATGGTCCAAAGGCCAGTTTGTCACTTGAGTGGGCCAAAGGCCAGTTTGACACGAGTGATAGTTTGACATAAATAATAGTTTGACACGAATGATAGTTTGATATAAGTAATAGTTTGACACGAATAACAGCTCGATCTGAATAATAGAATGAATGGGCCAGAGGCTGTTTTGATATGAATGAATGGGCCAGAGGCCGTTTTGACATGAACGAAAGTCTGAATGGCCCAAGGGCCAGTTTGTTATGGAAAGATAAATGGGCCAAAGACCAGTATGTTTGGAACCACAGTCACTTGACCTAAATTATGCATATATATGTTAAATAGAAATATGAATTGGGCCCATGGCCGTTTGGAGCATATTGTTCTACATATCGTTTGTATAACTTCTGTATTTGTTATTATTCACTGGGCTACCGCTCACGCTCATTCATGTGTTTATAGGTGAGCCAAGAGAAGTCCAAACCCAGTCCCAGTGAAGTCTGTCAAGAACAACAAAGGTTTTGGAGAGTCAGCCCTTGTGTCTCACGTACGAGACCCATCTTTGCCATTTTGTTATGTATTATATTTTGTCATATGGGCGAGGACTTTGTGTATATCTGTATATAGTTGAGATGGGTTGACTTAGACTCGAATGATCCTGTTGTGTAGAACTTTTTGGTACTATGTTTTTGTTGTGAGTTATTAACGTGCATATGTATGGTTTGTTTTGATGTGCATATAAGCACGGCTCTATGGACAAAGTTTAAAATTTTTGCTTCCGTTGGCCCCTATACTCTGGGCCACAACCTACTTCTGTGACGGAGGTACGTAGCTTTCTAGGGCTTGCTGGGTATTACAGACGGTTTGTGGAAGGATTCTCCCATATTGCTTTGCCACTTACCAATCTCACCAGGAAAGGGGTAAATTTTTAGTGGAATGATGATTGTGAGCGTAGTTTCCAAGAGTTTAAACAGAGATTGACATCAGCTCCAATCCTTGCCTTACCTACAGATGGAGGTGGTTTTGTGATTTATAGTGATGCTTCATGATAGGGTTTAGGATGTGTGCTCATGCAACATGGGAAGGCGATTGCTTATGAGTCACGATAGTTGAAAGTACATGAGAGAAATTATCCTACGCACGACTTGGAGTTAGTAGCAGTGATTTTCGCTCTTAAGATTTGGCGACATTATTTATGGAGAGTCATGTGAGATTTACATTGATCATAAGAGTTTGAAGTATATTTTCACACAGAAGGAACTAAATTTGAGGCAAAAAAAAAATAAAAGAGATGGCTTGAGTTGTTAAAAGATTACGATGTGAATATTTTGTATCGTCCGGGAAAGACAAATGTGGTGGTAGATGCCTTGAGTAGGAAAGTAGCAGTTGGAGATGTAGCTGCTTTGTCTATTGAGAGTTGTTTGGTGGAAGACATGAGACGTTTGAGGCTTGAGGTTTTTAGGCCTGGTGATAGGGCTTATTGTAGTCAATTGACAGTTCAGCCGACCTTGAGAGAACGGATTCGTTTAGCTCAGGAGATTGACCCCAGTGTGAGCGTATTAAAGGAGAGATAGTAGAGGGTAAGCATGTAGACTTTGTGGTTAGTGATGATGGGTTGCTTAGATTTTGTAGCCGAATTTGTGTTCCTGTTGGTGGTGATTTGAGGAAGGAGATTATGACGGAGGCACATAGTTCTAGTTACAGTATTCATCCTGGAAGCACTAAGATGTATCGGGATTTTCATGAACATTTTTGGTGGAATGGTATGAAGGTAGATATTGCAGAATTTGTGGCTCAATG